CAAACTATCGTGAGAGGGGCCTGTCTGTGTGACGTCACACAGACAGGCATCTGAGATTGGCTCAATTTGAGAAAGGGGAAAACATTTAACCAGATTTTTATAAAAACGCTGGGTGAATTTTTATCATTATAGGCTGGTTGTGTACACACACTGCCAAAACACATTTAAGTTCAGACAACTTGTTAAAGTGCATATAGCATCCTATGACCCCTCACCCACATTGAGTTTAATCAAAATACATCCTGCCAAAACAATGTCTACCTTGTGTGCAAATATATTAAAAAACAGTCTTGTGTGAAAGTGTATTTAAATGTATAAAATTAAAGCCAGGCATTACAAAAGGCAGGTTTGAATAAGAAAAATGTCCATTGAGAGCCTGGAACAGAAATAAAAAATTAATGCATATATTTAAAAAAAAAAAATTTATTTTTATTTACACCAGCAGAACATTTCATAAAATAACAACGATTTCAAATATTGTATATATGCTAGCTATATATTATATACATACAAAACAATGGTGACCGCAGGGACAATTTTCATCATCAAAAGCTAATAGTCTTTCACACAAAGCACAGTGCCTGGGTTGTACAGTATTGTGCACTGAGTAGTTTAAAGTACATAAGTATTTCTTACATGATTAATGATGTAACTGTCCTCATACAATCTGTTTGGACTAAGCTTTAATTTTAAGGTTGTATGTCTAAAATAGAACTATTCTAAGTTTAGGAGTACTACCATTCCTGTTTGGTTTAACATTGTGAAAAGAATTAAGCTATCATGTATATTTGACAAACACAGGCATAAGTGGATTGAATGGCTATTCTATGGTAAAATATTTAGGATTTTGCAGTGATGTGATACTGTAGGGTGCTTAGTTAGGTGCAAGCTAATTTTAGGTCATTCCTGGTCTGCCCATAGAAGATGAGTCCTCGTATTACACTGACACAGTGACTGATCTAAACTAGTGTATTTCAAGCTCTGATTATTGTAAAATGAAACCAGGAAATTCTTATGTGAATATTAGACATGGCTTTCAATTTGCAGTGACTGGATTTGCACAATAATTCATTGGTTTACACCTTTAAATTCATAGAGAAAGAGTGCATCATTATGTACATTAACAGACCTGAGTCCAGCATGCATTTTCAGAATAGTCTCTTCAGTGTGATGTGCTAATATCCATTGTTTTCTAAGGTAAAGAGAGACTATACTATATAAAAAATGTAAGGATCTGGCACCAAGTTCCTCATTTAAAGTATGAACCTTCATGGCACGCAGAGAGAAATCCTCTAGACCTGAGTTTTGGATATGTAAGCAATCATCAAGCCCCAAAAACTTCCTGAAAGAATCTAAATTCCAGTCAGACCCAAACCGGAATCTTCTGTAAACACGTCAACAGTATTATTAATGACTCCAAAGCAGGGCTGCATTATAATCACATGGTGTCTACACTTCAGCTCTTAAATACAGGAAATTCTTTAATTTCTTTTCCTTTTCCAGATCGGCCGAAGAGTGTCAAAAATGACCAAATGCACGTGTCTGAATAAAACGTGACCCAGAACTGCAGTAGCATCATGTGTGACTGTCTAGTAAAGGGCAAAAGCTTACATAATCTTGCAAGAACTTGACCATTTTCAAGATATTTCTTTTATATAGCACCTATGTGAAGTTCATGGTCAATACATCAAGTAGAGCCCCACATAAACACTATGAACATGAAAAAGTGCTATAAGAAAGAAGACAAATGCATTTAGAGGGCCTATATTTGTGCCAGGCCTTCAAATGGCCCATAATGTCCCTCTAAAAGGTCCCCTGTACATTGTTTCTTAACGCCAATGGGTACTGGAAGAGTCATTGTGGATCATGTCGGCCCTTGCTGACCACGAGTTTGCAGGCTACTGAAGTGGGCCTCCCTTAAGATACGATTGATGTGATCGTATGAGAGGTTGTGGCTCAAGGAGACGGCCGGCTCTTCTGCTGAGATGGTGGGGGCAATAGGGCTGCAGGGAGCCTGGGATACATGGAGTCCTCTTTGTTCAGTCTTCTGGATGTTGGAAGTGGCTCCTGCCATCCGCTCTGGACTGCTGATCCCACTGCTGTCACTGCTGGAAGACTGTTGGGTGCCAAGGAATTGAGAATGAATAAGAATAGAGGGGTGGCAGTGGTTTCTGTGCGCTTACTAGTTAATATACTACCGTTCAGAAGTTTGGGGTCAGTAAAAAAAAATTTTTCAGGTAAAATACAGGCAACTGCAACTTTCCATGAATTATTTATATTTCACAATTCTGACTTTATATCTCACAATTTAACACGCGAGTTTAAATCCCGTAATTCTGGCATTTTTCTCGGAATTTTGAGTTTACATCTCGCAATTGTAACTTTTTGAGTTTAAAACAGGCTGCTGAAAATTCAGCTTTACCATCACAGGAATAAATAACTTTTTCAAATAGATTAAATTTGAAAACAGTTATTTTAAATAATATTTCACAATATTACAGTTTTTACCGTATTTTTTCATCAAATAAATGCAGCCTAGGTGAACATAATAGACTACTAATGTCCTACTTACTAAATTTTATGAAGTATAAACTGAATAACATGTTTAAAAGTAGAATGCGGAACAAAAATTATGCAATCTTACATTCATGTCACGTGCGCTCGTCATACCATGCGATCTTGGACATTAAGATGACTATTATACAATATAAATGATTTTATTTAATATATCGGCCAAAAATGTCTTACAATTTGGTAGTCAGAATTTTTTTTTAAAATAGCATCTGAAATTTCAGTTCATTCATGAAATGTCAAGTCGCCCTTTTGGTCTGCAGGATACAGTACTGAAAACAGCCTTAACTCTATACCTAAGCACTTTCTCTAGTTTGTACCTTTATGAAATACATTCAAGAATGAACATCAACAGTCTCAGTTGACCGTTCTTGAACTAAAGAAGGTTCCTGGTCAACTGCTGTGCCTTCTTACCTCAGAGTCCCAGACATCACGGCCAACCTCAGGGAGAAAGGAATAACCCCCAGACCTCTTTGCCTGGGGCAAGACCTGAAGCTCCTCAGCATCACAGCTGCGCCTGCGTTTCCTGTTGACAGAGATCATCACCTTTGACTACTATGTTCAACATGCATAGAATAATTTCTGACAGTCTTATTATTATTAAACAACCAGGTATTTTTCAGCTGATTCAGAACATTCTAGACGTAAATCGTTCTTAGTAGTAAGCATTACCATTTCTTAAGCAATGGGGCACTGCAGACTTGATTGCAACCATTAGTCATCAATATGTCCACTGCAGGATTATGACTCAAGATTTAAGAATAAAAATGCCATCA